CGTAGAAAGGCAAAAACAGCGTGAGCACTGCACCTGAGCCTCCTCGAAATTCTGTAGACTCAACCATGAGTTTGGGCCTTAGAGGTTTACGAGACTGTAGTATGCCCCAAAACCCTGCTTTAATCATCGAGACCCCTACACTGAGCCCTTAGCTTTCAGGCTGCGGCTTTTCGCGAGCTTGGTTCGGGGCTATCGTGAAGTGGAGGCCAATGGGATCCTAAGGGTCCAGGGGTTCAGAGTTGAGAAGTGTAGGGTCTGGACTACAACGTCGCCGAAATGTGGAATGGATTTTCTGTCTGGCTGTACAGTGTTCTGTGTCGCGGTTTGGATGCTTAAAGGGTCATGGGACTTAGTAACTAGGGTAACTATACTTATAACCCCAATTAAGGTACTTATAACCTCACTAACTAAGTCCCATGATCCTCCAAGTGAGGTGTTGGATCTGAAGAATGAATGATTTGGATTCTAGGCCCGTGTGAAGAGACTTATGGGGATTCGAGATGTGTTTGTGGGACCTTAGCCCACGCTTCTTGTAGGACCTGGGGGTAGTTTCTGAGCATAGGCGTGAAGTGAATGCACAAAATACACTCGGGGTTACTAAACCTAAACCCCGCGCCCTCTGCACCCACACGAACAAAAAGAGCGCTGAAACCCTCCAACTCCCACAACCCCTTGAGTTTTCCGTAGCCGTCGAAACCCAAGCCCTCCAAGAGACGCACGACAAGATCGACAACCCGACCAGCAAATTACCTTCAACCACGCACATCCACCCCAAAAAGTAGAACCAGTATTGCAAGTATCAGCCCCCTCTTCCTCGTCCCTCCCCCCCCCCACCCGCTCACCCCTAAACCCGAAGGCCGTAAACCCTAAACCAGTGAAGCCGCTACCCTGGGTCCATGTACCCAAATAGTTTATACTTTGGCCTTTTAAGTACCTATATGGGGAGCACTTAAAAGGCCAAAGTATATACTATTTGGGCACACGGACCCTTATACCCAAAACCCTTATAGAACCCTTAAAGGAGCCCTTAAAAGAACCTTTAAAGGAACCCTTATACTAGTTGGCACATGGACCCTTAGGGCTACACCCTGAACCCAAAGGCCTGGAGCTCTGCTTCAAGGATAATGGGACTCAGTAAGTAAGGTTATAAGTACCTTAATTGGGGTTAGAAGTATAGTTACCCTAATTATAACCCTAGTCACTAAGTCCCATGATCCTTTAAGTAACCCTAACCCCCCCTCTTATAGAATACTTAGAGATCCCTTTAAAGGAGCCCTTTAAAGAACCCTATAGTTACTAAGTCCCATGATCCTTTAAGTAACCCCTTCTTAAAGGATCATGGGACTTAGTAACTAGGGTTATAACTAGGGTAACTATACTTATAACCCCAATTAAGGTACTTATAACCTTACTTACTAAGTCCCATGATCCTCCAAGTAGCCCGTAAACCCTAAACCCTTCAGGAACCCTATAGAGATCCCTTTAAGGAGCCCTTTAAGGAACCTTACTAAGTCCCAACTTAACCCTAGCCATCCTTGACTTTGGACGGTCCAGCTGGACTTCGAAGGCCCCTAGAATTAGGGACCAAAAACTACCATTTGCTTAAGAAACACCAAAAAAATAAAAATAATAATCCCTATATTACCCCCCATAAGGAATATATATTTTTTATTTTTTGGTGGGTTCTTAAGCAAATAGTAGAAAAGGCACATAAGCATAAGCATTTTATAGGGATTTCTCACATTAATGGGCTTCATTATGAGGTGGGTTTATATGGGATACCCCTATCCTAATGTTTGCTTATGTGCTTTTTTGGGGCCCTATAGAACTGAGTATCTGAGTTTACCTTAACCCTGAAGAACCTACATTTTGAGGGTTCCTTATTATGATTTCCTTTTTTAGGTCCTTATAGCGGTAGGTTCTTCAGGGTTATGGTAAGGTTTAGGAGTTAGGGGTTAGGGTTTAGGGTCTAGGGTTGAGGGTTTTTGGCTCAGTAGCTGAGTAGGTAGCTTTTAACCTCTTGGGGTTTATAGAATCCTACCAAAACTAAAAATCCTACGAAAACTACAAAGGTCAACCTTTTTTGAAGGGCAATGGTATTCAGCCCCTAAGTACACCCCAAACCCGAACCCTTGAGCCTTAAACCCTAAACCCTAAAGTCCCTAGAGTCCCTAAAGTCCGGACCCCAAAGTCCCGAAATTCTTTAAAGTCCCTAAACCCTCACGTGAAGATGGTAGGGGTCGTGATCGTACTCCACGAATGGCTACGGCGAGATCCCTGAGAGCGACAAACTTTATGGCAGAGATAGCAGCCTCCTCGGGACGTGCACCGAACCCTGGTCTCCTTTTTCCAACTGAGCCTACAGAGGGCGAGGAATCAGAGGGGGAGAACCAGGAAACCAATGACCCCGGCACAGACAGTGGGGAGAGCTGGCCAGCACGCACAACACGCACTACCACAACTGGCTCGTCGTGGACTAATACTTCGTCTACTACATCGTCGACCAGTTCAGGCACTTTGTGTATCTTGGGGAGTACTTCGACATCGACTACATCGTGGACATCGTCTACTACATCATGGACGTCATGGGGCGTGGAAGAGAGCACGGAAGATGGTGAGGAGGAAGCGAGCAGTCTCATGCAGCGACTGGGGGTGGAGGAAAACCTACGTCTCCCGTCGTTGGGCCTGGATCGTCGCTGTGTCCACGAACTTGCTGCTCTACTTGAACGGTTGGCTGCTGCTGAAGAACGTGAAGATGCAGATGGAGACCCTCTTCGTGGATGGGAAGTCAACTGGGGTGTTGCTCTCCTTGAACATGCCCTGCGGCGTATGATCAACCGCTTGGACGAGTTGGGGGCAGTTCTGGTGACGAGGATGGGCCCGGTGGGACGTTTGCCACCTCAAGATGTACATGGGGCGTTCCCGGAGGCATGTCAGCCCTTCATGCATGCGTTGACTGCCACGTGCCTGGAGACCATGCAAGACCGCCTTCGTGACGCTTGGCTGGACCCTCACATGCTCCCGGACGCCTTGGTTCAGCAAGGGAGTGAGGGGACGATGCAAAGCAGTATGGTCAGTCACTCCTCGCATGAACCAACCCATCTACTTGACCTTGCTGGGACGGTTGTACACACACCTGAACTACCACCTCGTCCGGAAGGACCACATGGTTTTGGTGGTCCAATGTCGGATGGGGACGATACAACTCGAGATGAACATGATGCTGCTGAAGTATCACATGGCCCTGCACTTGTTGTTCCAGCCGTGGATGGGGGCGATGATGCTCGAAGTGAACCTGGTCCTGCTGTTGCTGCTCGGGACGATCCTGAAGGAGCTGAACTGCTACCTCCAGGTGATGGTCGTAATGAAACGGGATGGGATGTACCAGTGATGTTTGGGTCGTCCCTTCGTCGTCATGACGATTCCGAAGGCTTGATGAGTGAGTCGAGTCGTGACCGCAGTCGTACTCCGCGTGGGACGTGAAGCCTGAAATGAGAGGGCCGTGAGGGTGTGTTTTTGTGGAAAGCATGTCTTTTCTGAACCTGCTGGGATGTGAAACACACCAGTGGAAGATGGTTAGGAGCCGACTCGGGCAGGCGCACAAAGAGACCGTCAACCTAACTTTAAAAAAAAAAAAGAACCAAAAAACACCCAAAGTCCCTAAACTCCAAACCCCAAGTTTAAACCCTTTGTAGGACCCCTTCAAAAGAGCCCTTTATAGGATCTCTTAAGCATCCCTAAACCCTTTATAGGATGCCTTTAAAGGAGCCCTTATAGCATCTCTAAAGGAGCCTTAAACCCTAAAACCTAAAACCCTAAACCCTAAACCCTAAAGGAGCCCTTATAGGATCTCTTTAAAAGGAACCCGATCAATCTGGCAGGTCCAGTTCGACTCCTGCGAGGAGGTCATGGAGGAGCTCCGCTTCAGTGTCGATCCCAGCTTTCGGATGTAGGATTTGTTTTTTTTTTAAAGGGGTTTGGGGATTAGGTGTTTAGGATTTGGGTTTGTTTTAAGGGGTTTGGGGATTAGGTGTTTAGGGTTTGGGATTTGAGGGTTTGGGAGGTTTTGGGACTAGGTGTTTAGGGTTTGGGATGTGAGGGTTTGGGGGGTTTGGGGATTAGGTGTTTAGGGTTTGGGATTTGCGGGTTTGGGGGGTTTGGGGTTTAGGTGTTTAGGGTTTGGGATTTGAGGGTTTGGGGGGTTTGGGGATTAGGTGTTTAGGGTTCGGGATTTGGGGGTTTGGGGGGTTTGGGGATTAGGTGTTTAGGGTTCGGGATTTGGGGGTTTGGGGGTTTGTGGGTTTAGGGCTTGAGGTGTTTACAGGTTTAGAGTTTGGAAAGTTTGAACTGTTTGGGCTTTAGGGTTTATAGGGTCTTGTTTTGCCTGGGCGGTTCTTCGTGTCTGGGCTTTTCTGTGGACAGACATGTATCTTTGTTGGCTCCTCGACCCCCAACGACCCTAACACCAAATACCCTCTAACAGGGCCATAACAAGGGCATTCTTTCAGCCCTACCTTAACTCTGAAGAACCTACCCTTTTAAGGACTATATATAAGGAAATCATAATAGGGAATCCTAAAAAGGTAGGTTCTTCAGGGTTAAGTGAAAGCCTTAGGCCACTAGGAGTTTCGTGAGTGATTTTCCGACCGTTACTTTTGTGACCGGCGTTGTTTCAGGATTCAGGGTCGCAGGGCTCTCGGACCTCTGGATTTAGGGTTTTCAGAGGATTATGGTTTCAGGATTCAGGGTTGATACACGTAGAGCTGAAACCGAGGCGTTAGCTGTTCTAGTTACTAGTCTTCATCACTTGGAGTTTCCGGGGGCAGGGTGAATAGTGGGTGTAGAGGGTGTTCGGGTTTAGGCTTCAGGGATTAGGGCTTAAGGGTTGTACTTTGCACCCGTTTCGCAGCGAGATTGCAGCCCAGACACAGGATAGAGGTCATGGTGCCGCGCAGATTTGTACTCCATCCCTTGTGGAGCGTGGTGAAGTTGATGTAGCGATGCCCCGCCATGGCGCAGACAGTGTTTACCAGCCAGGGCAGAATGTGGAGATTCACGACCTCATCAACGCGACACACTTGAACGGCCTGAAGGGTGTGGTTTTGTATCCCGATCCGCATCGTGCTGGACGCTGGGGTATACAGATCACACTGAGCACTGGTGACCTCGCAACTAAATCTATCCGCGAAGAGAATCTTTCTCCGAGTATCATTGATGAGACTCGAGCGGGCGAGAAGCCCGGCAGTGCGATCAGTGGCAATGGGCTAAGCTTGCTTGGAGGCGTTGCTGGGCGGCTGGACGAGATGGACGATGACCACGACCACCAGGATGGCGACAACCCCTACTTCGCGAGTGACTTCCCCGGTGAGGACGCGGGGGCTCGCAGCGCGGAGCACTACACCTCGGTGGACGCGGAGGTCGCGGCCAAGGAGTACATCAACCTTACTCGGGAGCCTGGATCAAAGGTTCGGGTTCAAGGCCTGGAGGGACAATCTCGCTCTTGGCTTAACGGCCGCGAGGGTGTGGTAGTGTGCGCAGGCTTTCATGGAGAAGAGTATTGTCAGTTGGAGTTCACCACCCTGTCTGGCAAACGAGAGGTAAGGCTTGTCTCTCACAAGCACCTTGTCCTCTGTCCGTCAGATACTGCAGCAAGCGACGTATGGCGCGCAGGAAAACCGAGGAATGCAGAAACTGACCTGCCCGAAGAGATCCCGCCGCCTGGTTGCGTAGTGCGAGCTGCAGGCCTTCAGAACTCACCTGCGTTGAACGGCTGTGAGGGTGTGCTCGCACGCCCGGATTATGCCAAACCGGATCGCTGGTGTGTGCTATTTAGCCACTCATCCAAGCCGACATCCATTCATAGGAAAAATTTTCTTCTTGACGACCTGTCAGCTTGCCGCGTGCTCGAAGCAGATTGTCTTGCCCAAGACGTGGCAGCCAACTATGCATCCAGCTTGCATGTTTCACGAGATGCACCGACAGGTTTGACACCAGCACTTGCCAGTGCAATCACGAAGGACTTCCCTATTTGCTTCACCAAAGAATATCTGTCTGCAACTTTGTCAGAGCGCCGCTTCTTGACCACCCTGGGGGTTCATATATGTATTGCAGTAGTGGCTTGGGCCCCCCGCCCAGAGCCTCAAGGTTTCATTGCCCATGTGCACACAGAATGTTTGAAATATGGGTTGGATCACGGACGCAAAGCACCTGCGGAGGTTGCAGCCGCCATGATCCAAACTTTCGCAGAAGTATCAGATGTCGAAGTCCATTTAGTCGGTGGACACCGTAGCACGAACGTGATCGTCCCATTGATGCACAGATTTCCGCACGAACCCGAGAAGCAGACGTTCACATGGCATGTGGAAAATATGCTTCACAAGGCAGGCTTCTCGCGGATCAACAAGCAGATGCTGATGCCTTTCCAGGGGCATTCTCGGATGATGTATGAGTCTGCCAATTGGTCCGATGTTGAGATAATCCGGGAGAACCAGCGATTCACCATCGTGGCATTGGATCTGAGGACCGGTCTGGTGGTCACTCACAGTAAAGGCCAAGGCGGGAGGGCGAAAGAAACGCTTGGCGCCAGTTGGCCGGCTGTCGATGCACAGTACCACAAGGAAGCAATGTGGACGACGACGTGCTGCAAGCAGTTTGGGCCCATGACCGATGCTAGGCTGAGAGCATTCTGAATCCTGCGCAGGTGAAACCTCGTTGCCTGCAGTCTACTTCGATCTACGTACAGTGACATACGATATACCGGTATACCGGTATAATACCACTTGTAACAGTGATACGGCCCCTAGAGTCCTAGAGTCGGGTTTGTAGGGACAGGGCGGGTATCAAACCGAGGTACCATCAGCCCAGATCACTCACAACCGTGCGGGGCTTGGAGATCGCGCTGCTGCTGCTTGCATAAGGGACGACATACGAGGATACCAAAATAAAGCGAAGTCCAGACAGCTGGAAGTTCCCTATACTTTACTCCAAGAGCAGCCGGATCGCTATTCCAACTTTCTGGCTTCTACTGTGCATACATGCAAACATATACACCTTTACAAGTTTAAATGCTCATGCATGTACTCGTGTAGGCCTGCTGTAGACGTTCCAATCAGTGCTTGGACCATCAGATGGATAATCAAGCATGTAAGCCGAATTTGTTTTCTGGAACGATCTTCTTTGCAGCTGCACCCCAGAACCTTTAACCTTATAAACCTTGAATCCTAAACCCCGAACCCTAAACCCCAAAATCTGTAAGCAGGCTCACCGTGCAAGCAGTCGATGCCGAAGATGGCGCCGCAGCTGCTGCTGGGGCTCGGGCCCTGCCGAGAGCGGAACGGTCGAGACCCTCTTCTCCGGGGTTTCTTTAATGCCGGGGTTTAGGGATGTAGGCTTTAGGGATTTAGGGTTTAGGGTCTAGAGAGGTTTTATAGTTCGGGGTAGGGTTTAGGAGAAAGAGTTGTGATGCTACCGGTTAGGACCGATGTTCGGGCCCGTAAAGGCCTGCAAAAAAAATCCTCTGCACACTCTGCTCCTCCAATTACAGGCTGGATCCATGTGTGGGAATGCGAAGGCTTGGGCACTAAGCCACCGAGAACGATGAAAGCATGGACCATTATCACTCTTTGCCGGTTTATTTTGAAAAATAAATAGAAGTAATTCATCGTCGAATAGCGAATGGGTTTGTCATTTTGGCTTCCGTGTTTTTGGGAGGTAGTTGAGGTGCGGGGACTTATGCGTGCACCCAAGGGTCCAAGTGACAATGGGGGTTCGTGGTACCACGAGGCCATACCTGCCAGAGAACTGACAGCCGAATCTCAAGATTTAACAGCTGCGGCCTACGCAGGGCCTAAAACCTTACCAAGCCGTAGTATCAATATCTGAAACCTTCAAGCCTCAGCCCTTCATCATGCAAGCACCTAGCATGCCAAAGACTTCAGCTTCGTTTTGCCTCATCGAAGCTCCCCTCGAACTAACTGAGGATCTAGAGTTGGCTTCCGGGATCGGTACCCGAAGTGTCCCTGTAGCCACAAACTTACATTACCTAGAAACAATAAACCCTATAGCAAAACACCTGATCATGTTTCGGGGATAGCCGGGTTAATGGTCTTTTCGAAGTTAAAAGCAATGTTGGAAGAAAGCAGAGCTCCAAAAGCTTCAAAACCAAAACCCGAAAGGCCCCGAGCCCCCCCCCCGTTCCAAAACAGCAAGCCCAAATCCCAACCCGCCAAACCCTAAACCCTAAACCCTAAACCCCAAACCCCAAACCCCAAACCCTAAACCCTAAACCCTAAACCCTGACCCGGAACTGAACCCAAAACCTAAGCCCAAACCCCAAACCCTTAAACTCCTAAACCCTAAAGCCCAAACCCAAAACCTAAACTCCAAACCCTAGACCTAAGCCCAAAATCCGAAGCCTAAGCCTTAAAACCCTCATTCAAAAGACAGCAAAGCGAGGTCGTTGCTGGAGACGAAATTGTCGAGATCGAGGTCGACAAGAATGGAAATCGGGACGGCCCGCCCGGCAATATCACCGGTTTAGGGTTTGGTTTAGGGTTTCAAGGCAACGTCAGCTTGAGGGTTCTTACAAAGGAGTTCTAGAGGGTTCTATGGGGGGGTTATTGTTATCAGACGTCTGGGCTCTCAGCACTGATAGGGCTCTGCTTTTCGCTTTCTTATAGGGTTCTAGAGGAGTCTTTTCAGGTCTACGCTTGTTTTACAGGCTCTATGAGGTTCTACAGGGCTCTCAGCACAACAAGGGCTCTGATTTTCGCTTTCTTACCAGGTTCTATAGGAGTCTGTGGGTGCTCGCCACCTGTTTTACAGGGGCTCTACAGGGTTTCTTTCGGGGTTCTACCCAGATTCTACAGGTTCTATGGCTCCAGTGCAGTTTACTTGGCTTAGTATGTAAGGCCATAAGTACCTTAATTGGGGTTATAAGTACTTGTAAGTATAGTTACCTTAATTATAACCCTAGCCACTAAGTCCCAAGATCCTTTAAGTATCCCTAACCCCCCCCCTTATAGAACCCTTATAGATCCCTTTAAAGGAGCCCTTTAAGGCACCCTATAATTACTAAGTCCCATGATCCTTTAGGTGCAGTTTAGGGTTTTTGGGCATAGAAAGCTCTCGGATGCCGGGCCCGGCTTCGAGAGACGAAACATCCTTGTACCCTGAAGTCCAAAGCTCATGGGCCCTTCATAGGGTTTAGGGTTTACGGGTTTAGGGTTTAGGGGTTTAGGGTTTAGGGGTTTAGGGTTTAGGTGTGAATGTGGATGTGTATATGGTAAACTGTACGGCAATAGAAGTATAGAAGGGACCCCAAGGGAAGTATTGCGAACTACCCACTTATTCAACCTATGCTACAATGTGTAGGGACCGCTTTACAGTCCTGATGCACCAGTCGCTCAGGCCCAGTGTTGAACCCGAAGCCCCAGGATGGATCAATGAAAGAGCTGTCATACACTGTGGAGGTTTCCGTTCTAACGCTCATGGTGCAAGACCCCAGAACTGAAAAGGGTTTGCAATTAGCCGTGGGCTCGAATAGTGCCTTCTGCACTTCCAGGTCTTCATCGCACCACGAAAGAGATCGCGGAGGCAAATCCACGCATGCGAGAAGCTTGCGGCTAAGTGGCCAGACCACCCACAGTTTCGGCACTGGCATTGTCATAAGTATTGGACCTTTACCTGCACACGCGAACGACCCATGCTAAGGTCCGAAAGACTTCAAGTTGGTCAGTTTTTTATTATTGCTCCACGAGCAATATACATATATAATTACATATGTATATATACATATCCGCACATACATACATACATACATACATAGAGGGGCCTAAATATTTGCCAATACTACTTTTGGGGGTTCCTTGTATAAGGAGAGTTTTTTTGTACAGCAGAACCAAGCCCTAGTGTAGTTATTAGGGCTCCTATAGTACGGTTCGTATAGGTAGTTGTGGTGTTGTGATTCGAAGCAACAGGTGCACTTCTCCCCAGACCCCTTTCAGGATCGCAGAAATTAAACCCCAAATAAGTACCCTATCATTACATGGCTTTAGATAGGGCTTCTTCCAGGGGTTATGTTTTTTGGTTGCAGGGGTCTGGGTCAAGCTTTGTCCGTTCGTTTCTCACTTCGGGGCCGGCAATGCACGGTTAAAGCACTCGAATCCTTGATCGTCTTCTCCACTTTCTCGAGGCGAGGCACTTATGCGCCCGTGGGAGTTCATAGCATGAGCTTCATGGGATCACAGAGAAGAAGTCCTGCGTGCTCTGGAGCTGGGGTCTTTAAGGGTTGAGGGTTGAGGGAGCTAGGGTTAAAGCTTCGCGACCTTCTAAGGTTCAGAGTTTAAGGGTTTATAGGGTTTAGGGCTTCGGCTTGAACGTGCTCCGGCATCTTCAGTCTTGTTGCTTCAATCACCCTCTAATTCCCGACGGTTTGGTGGTTTGAGGAGGAGTCTCTTTGTCTCTCTCTCTCCCTCTCTCTCTCTCTCTCTGCCTCTCTCTCTCTCTCTCCCTCTCTCTCTCTCTCTCTCTCTCTCTCTCTCTCTCTCTCTCTCTCTCTCTCTCTCTCTCTCTCTCTCTCTCTCTCTCTATTGGTGTGTGCATTCGCAGCCTCCGGCTTCAAGGATGTCGGAGTGAGACGTCCAGCCGAACCCTGAACCATCTCTAAGCCCTAATCGCCAGGACAACTCTTTGAGCCATGAGCAGAGCCCGTCTCGCGCATGCCATCGTGTCGCAGGCAGATTCACGATCCGAAGAGATGCGAAAGCATATCGAGAGCGACTTTGTTGACTACTTCGTGGAGCTGTCGATGGAGTATTTTAAACTGGGTTGCCGCAGCATTGTTGTTCTGACAGAGGCTGGCTTCGAGGTAAAAACCCAGAGGGAGCTGATACATTTTCTTGAACAACAGGGCATAGGGGGACTCCCCATGATCAACGAACGAAGTGGGTGTATTGGTCGTTTTCACTCCAGTTCGCACATGCTCAACTGCATGAGCTTGCTTGGCTATGAAGTCGCCTTCAGCATCGGCAAAACGATCAGGATGAAGAGGCGGGTTCCACGCGCATTCTTGCAGGCACATCCCACTGCTTTGATCTGATCTAGCATGTAAAAGGTCCATCTCCAGTTTGTGAGGCGCCGAGATTTGCAATGACAGGCTTTTCAATCTGGTTGGGTTCGCAGTAATTACGTATTTAAGTCAGATGCTTTCTGAATGTTTTGAACCGGTAGGGCATTGCATTGCATCAGTCAGGATGAGCTTGACTTAGTAACTATAGGGTTATAAGTAAGATAACTATACATATAAGTACTTATAACCCCAATTAGGGTACTTATAGCCTTACTTGAGGCTCAGAAGCCGGGTTGACGCGAGCATTGTTTCATGGCAGAGGATTTTCGTGCCAGTTCGCATGCATGACTTGGGCATCTGGCCGACACCCAGTGAGTTTGCGACCTGAGCTTAAGGGTCAGTTAGGACGGAGCAGCACAAGACTGCATCTTCGATGCTCTGATGGCAGGGAAATGAATTGCCTGTTCTCCGTATACTGTTGCCTTTTGCGGTCCGTGGACCCAACCCTTTCACGGACGGATCAAAACCCCAGATCTTAACATCAATGCAGTCTGTATAAACTCAAGCCCCGAAACCCTTTAAAACGCCTATCTCGAAGCGCCAAGCCCCTAGACTGGGCAGAGGGTTTGGGGTTTAGCGTTTGGGGTTTAGGGTGTCTGATTGCTGGTTCTGAGATCTGATAGCAGTAGCAGAAGTTGCAGTGGGCAGTCCCAGGAGTAGTAGTCGTAGCGGTTGTGGTAGTGGTACGTAGGAGTAGTAGTAGTAGTAGTAGGAGGAGGAGGAGGAGGAGGAGGAGGAGGAGGAGTAGTAGTAATTAGTAGTAATAGCAGCACTAGCACAACACTAGCACTAGCACCCGTACCGGCACTGGCACTAGCACTGGGCTACTGCTACTGCTGCTGCTACTGCTACTGCTACTGCCACTGTCAGCTGCTGCTACTGCTACTGCTACTGATGCTTGTCGTCGTTGTGGTGGTGCTGGTGCTGTGCTGTTGCTCGTGCTGCTGCTGCTACCGGTGCTGGTTGTACTGGTAAGTTTGCTAAGGTTGGGCTTAGGAGTCCTCAAGATTGACTATTGCAGCCGAATCAGGTACTAGTACAGTCGAAGAGGTTAGACCAGCCTCCGGGTATCCCCATAGCATTCGACCCCTTCGAAACCATAAGCAATCAAGCCTCGATTTCAAAACATATGCCCGAGGGGTTTCAGTGGGAATTTGTCAACTTGAGCTATACAATCGTGATGCGTGCTTGCAGTCCATAGCAAGACTAAATACCGACATGCCTTTGTATCAATTAATGTCTCCGTTAACTTCCTTCACCACCCTGAAACTCATCTCATTACTGCTTTTCGTGTGGAAGGTTCTTCAGCTGAAGCCCACGCTGGCATCTCGCCTGTTTCTACTATGTTATGAGATTGCATGGATTTGGGCACTGGGGTCTCCAGGGCAGTGAAGAACAAGGGCCAATGACTTGATCTTTTACTTGTTGGTTTAGGAGTCGTGTTGGGCTTGGGATTCTGGAGCTAGGATTCGTAAGAGGCAAACTGAACCCCTCCCGGCGATATGGCCCAGACTCATCAAAGCAATGTCCTTCCAGTGCCCAAGTGACATACTTCGACAGACGATCTGCGAATGCATCAGACAGCTTCAAAGTTGAAACTTGTATGATGCGTCGGTCTGCAAGCATCCAATGGACTCATGCCTCTAGGAGCTCCGAGCAACGAACCGGCACGATGTTCTAGTAGAGGCGTGGCAAGCATGGCTGGCGTAGGCTGGAAATATGGCTCGTGGGATGGGTGTTTCGTGCCAACCGGCGAAGATGGTTGTAGGTTCGCATTATTTGCCTCTAAGATCCTTGGGGTTTGAGGGCTTACCCTCACGTAAGGGTCTAAACTGCATGCTGATGTTTGAACCGAGGCCCAGCGGCAAGAGAAGCCATCGTGAAGACTTTGTAGGAGAGTCGGGCCGCCTCCAACGTTCCAAACCAGCCCAAACCGATAGTAGCAAACCACACTTCTGGCACATGGACCCTTAAATGGCATAATGTACCCCGGCCCCCCCCACCACAAAAAAAAACAAACACGCAAGCCAATTTCTCGTAATTGCAATCTGCGGCACCTTCATACCTTTGTACCCAGTCGTTTGCTTTTGGGTACCAAGGCGACGGCCAAGTGCCATGACTGAACGTGGTTTACGGGTTTAGGGTTTAGATGGGTTTAGGTTTACGGGTTTAGGGTTTAGGGTTCGGAGGATTTGGGGCGAGATTTCGGACGATAGTATTGTGCAGCCACCAGAAACAAAGGGCCAGAGCAACCATGAAGGGAGTCACGTGGGTGGCTATACTATGGTATAGTGAACCCCAGAAAGTTGAAACATAGACTTAGGATGATTCATGCTGGGATTCCCTGTACTTTACCTTAAGGGCATGAGGCTAAATACTGATGTTCCAACTTTCTGGCTTCTGCTGTAATCCCCAAAAGGAACTACTGTGGGGCCTAATTATGACTAGGGGGCTTAGGGTTTAGGGGAGTTGGGTTCATGGTTGAGGGTTTTGGGGGTTTTGTATTTGAGGTGTTGTCAAAATTAGGGTCCCTTTCTGGGTACCCTAAATAATCGGTGCCGTATTATAATAAGAACCCAAGAAGGGGACCCTAATTTTGACAACCACCCATGTGTATAGTTGCAGTGAAATTAATAATCACGAATGAGCAGCAATAGCAACACCGACAGAATATCCAACGCATTTGAGCGTTAGGTCTCTGTGTAGGCATCTGTGTTGCTGTGTGCGTGTGTATGTAAGTACGTATGTCTATGCAAATTCATGCATGTACTGATGCCTGGACAAGCATAATGATGCGCTTGCTGCAATTGTCTGCGCCATGTTGGTATCAGTGACTCTCACGAAAACGAGTTTTCTTGGTCAAAGTAGTTGCACTTGTTCTGGTAGTTGTGGAAGGTGTGCAGTGATGGTTTTTCATCGTAATTAGTACGCATCAAACGCCCTCCACACCCAAGAAACAAAAGTATATAACTCCTCGGAGTCAACAACCCACATGCCATAAGATTTCAAAGACCCCACAGCAACACCCAGAAATCCCGGAAGCCCTCAAGTCGAAAGCTGAAGCCCACAACCCGCTACCCGAAGTTTATGCATGGATCCTTCCTGCTCGGAAAGGTCTAAAGGGGGCTTTTTCCCAAAGGTCCTTTGGCGAAGCGGGAGATTGTTGCACGGGTGGGCCATCCATGCTATCTCACCACTATGTTCAGCAAACGGTTGTTCTTGGGACGATCTCTCTTTCTGCTCCTGCGAGTGCACATCAGCCAAAGAAACGAAGCTTCTCCTTTGTGGAAAGCTGGAGCCAGCTCGAAACCATGACACCGCTTGCACGGGAGGGGATGGCTTCGAAGCCAGAGAGCTTGTTGACAAAACATGGGCTGGTAAGCCGGACAGCAAGAACCCACGAACAGCAGTAGCGTCTGGTGAGCAAAGTTTCCTGCTGCATCGCCACGAGTTTGTGCAATCATGCTGGCATTGCAACAGCTTTCAGCCAGAGTCGGTAACAGACAGTCCGCGAGTAGCATGTCGATACGATTCCCAGTAGAGTTTGTCGGAACGAGTGTTAGATCTTGACGGTAGGGAAATTGATTGAGCTGTTTCATGCTGCTTATGGTCATTAAGGCAGAACATTGATGCAGTCTGGCCTCGTCAATTTAGCAATGAGCGGCAGCTCAGACATTGCCTTTCATGGGAAACGCATCACAAACGTTGCGATGCATTTACAAATCACCGCATTTTCCCGCAAAATGTGCCGAAGATTACAAACTGAGCTTTACAATTCCCCGCAAATCCCCGCATTTTACCGCAAAACGGCTTCGCGTTTTGCAGGAATTTATAAATCCCCGCATTTTCCCGCAAAATGCCCCGGACATCTTTTGCAGCAAAACACATCCCCTGATGCATTGATCGTTTGCAGGTACCGCGAGCACCGAATTGTCCAAACTTTTGCAACAGGATATTCATTTACAGCCATCCCCAATCTTCGTATTGTTGCTCAGTACTCTATACCGATAAGTGTTTGTTTTCTTCGCTGAGTTGCTTTCTGAATCCCGAAGCATATGGTATTCGTCACATTGAGATTCACACGGGTTTCTTCCTTCCTGGCCACCCGTGGCCGCTATGCTCTTGTCACGCTTGGCCGGGCGGTCGGACGCACTGGCAATCTTCTGTCCCAAGTCCCTGAGCCGTCCTGCAGTGTTGCCATTGTTCAGCCCAAGAGCAGCCTTGTCCAAGCATTTGTGTTTCAACGCCAGTTGCATGATTGAGTATTTCCAACGTATCCCCCTTGAGCTGCTACTTCGATCGGCTTGACCTTGTGCTGGTAGATGTCCGATTCCACCAACCCTATTGTAGTTGTCGGGCAGCCTGAATCCCGAAAAGGCCCCCTTTGATAAAAGCCCCCTTTGGCTTTTGCCGACCTGCATTTTTCTCCACCTTCGAGGGGATGGATCCTCCTCGGATCTTGGGAAGCTCCGAACATCTCTCTGTATACTGGTCTTTGGGTGTCATAACGTTGATGCAAAGGTGGTTGTTGACAGGTGTTGTTTAAGGTTATTGATTATGGGTACCGTTTCGGTTCACAAAGGGCTTTCGGAACAGTAGCGCGCTAAGGTTGCAACACAACCGCAGCATCAAGTACTTTCCAAAACCAAAAGCCCTAAACCGCGGAAGCCGCTGCACTCTTAGACCCTAAACCGCTACCTTAAACTACCAAAACATCTTTTTTGGTAGCCCCGCCCTATAAATCCAATCCAATATTTGGGGTGTAGAATCAGAACCGACGATCAAGTAGGTTATGGCAGTTGAAGGTAGACCCTATAATCCTCAGCCCGCATGCCGCAAGCCCTAGACCATGCACTCCTACATCTAACGCTGCGCTGAGAGGTTCGAACAATCACGAACATGCCAAGTCGGAGTCTTCGAGTATGTCATGAGTACTACTATTGACTATTGTGATTACCATGGCTATTGCA